CGGATGTGGCTGGCAGAAAGGCGAAAAGGTGGTTGGCTGTGGCAACAGGAAGTCGCCAGACTTCCTAACGGCCGCGGTTGCCAGCCTGAGCGCACTCTGTCCGGGCGCTCGGCTCGGGATCATACCTCTCTCAAGGATCCCATGCTCTGTGGTCTATGGCATGTAGTGTCCTTGACACTCTGCAAAGCGAGAATAGGGAGCGACACGCTGATCGCTGTTGATTAGACGTCGCTCGACAAATTGAAAGACTGCGGAAGCAACATCAAGCTCGGGCTAGGCACCCTTAGGGCAAGTGTCCCGGGAGACAGACCACAAGCTGCAAGGGAGGAGGCTGGCAGTGGTGCAAATTAACGTGCATCACTCCACTTCCGCCTCGCTCGACTTGATAAAGTATATCGTAGACAATGATCTGGATGTAGCTCTCATTCAAGAGCCCTGGGTGGTTAGGGGTAGGGTTAGCGGACTGGGGTTAGACGGTTACCGTCTGTACAACGACTGTAAGTAAGATAAAAACCTATGTACTACCTAAAAATTATATTAATCTCTCTCTGTTCGCCCAATACAGCACTGGATATCTCACAAAGGTGGTATGCATAGCAAGTTACTAACGTCAGCATGCCTACCGTACGACGAGGGGCAACCACCATCAGTTGCTTTCCGACAGCTCGTGGCGTATGCTCAAGCACACAGGATACACTTGGTTATTGGTTGTGACGCAAATGGAAATTATGAATTTTGGGGAAGCTCCGACACTAATACCAGAGGTGAGACTTTTTTTGACTTTGTTCTTTCTTCTAACCTAGTCATATGTAACAAGGCTAATAAATAAGCCAACGTTCCGTAATAGGATTAGGGAAGAAATTATTGATATAACAGTAGTCACCCACTCATCTACAGCCAGGATAAATGAGTGGAGGGTATCTAACACGTGTGCCTTTTCAGATACTTATAGGATACTCTTCACGGCAAATTCTGAGGTAGCAGTATCCCGACCTTTTAGAAATCCGAAAAAAGCGGATTGGGAAAACTTTCTCTGTAAATAACTCAGCAAAAATTTCATAATTTGCACGAAGGAAATATTTGCACATGCAGCAGTACATAGCATGTATTTAGGCGCCTGGTGTTAGCAGATTCGCCTAAACACTCTGAATTAGCGTCCAACACACTAAGCTTGATGGAAACCGAAGTTAGACGGGGGAATGCTAATCTTGATAGGGCAGTTAATCGTCTAAACGCGATTCTGACTAAGTTCTTCGAGCAGAGTTGTCCTATATCTCGGCCGCGATCAAAGCCCAAGCCGGTATGGTGGAGCGAAGAACTGGGTCAACTCAGATAGATGGCACGGAAGCTCGTCAACTGGGCTAAACGCAGTCGACGTGAGGAAGACTGGAACAAATATAGAACCAGCTTTAACAAATACAAGGGTTGTATTAGGGCTGCAAAGAAAGAACCCTGGCAAGAGTTTTGTGGAACGCTGGAGACCACAAATGAGGTATCGAGGCTACGCAAGGTACTAACCAGGTCGGACGTGACTCTGGGAAGTGTCTTGAGACCAGATGGCTCTTGGACGAGCTCCATCCATGAAACTCTTGAATGTTTCATAGACACTCACTTTCCAGGCAGCACGGGTCAAATGGTCAGTAATCATGTGATAAATCGGTCTCGTGCTCCTTTAGAAGAGGTTTCAGATATTGAGAATAATGAGAAAGTAGCTTATGCCATCAAATCTTTCGATCCGTTCAAAGCAGCGGGACCGGACGGCGTGATTGCCGCTATGCTACAATACTCATGTGGGAGTCTGGTGCCCCATTTGACAAGCATCTTCGCAAGATGCTTAGAAAGCGGATATGTACCGAAAGCATGGAGGGAGGTGAACGTTATATTCATCCCCAAAGGAGGGAAGATAAACCACTCACAGCCAAAGGACTTGGGACCGATAAGTCTTTCATCGTTCATACTAAAAACACTGGAGATACTAATCGATCTGTATATTAGGGAAAGTATTGGTATCCACACAATGGACACAGCCCAACAAGCATACCGCAAGGGTAGATCTGTTGAAAGCTCGCTCCACGAAGTGGCAGGCACTATTGAAAAACAGCTGGAACTTAATGAATATACCCTTGCCGCCTTCCTGGATATTGAAGAGGCCTGAAGCAAGGCACTCTCTAAGCATGGCATTCAGCGTTCTATGGTGGCATGGATTGACTCCATGCTCGAGATCAGAATAATCAACGCCACCATAGGCACAGAATCTGTTAGAAGGTAAATCAACAGGGGCACGCCTGAAGGGGGTGTACTATTTCCTCTCCTCTGGCTCCTGGTAGTGAACGAAATTCTTGAGAACCTTAAAATCAAGAGAATAAGGGTGGTTTCTTACGCCGACGATTTATAGACACTCTTCACTGGCACATTCTTGTCAACGATAAGTGAACTAATGAAGAGTGCACTAGGTGATATCTCTAAGTGGGCCATCCAGAATGGATTGGGGATAAACTCCTCCAAGACAGAACTGATATTGTTTACAAGGAAAGCAGAAGTACCCCCTTTTTCTATGCCCTAATTAGGGGAATCCACTTTGAAACTCTCCTTCTAGGCAAAATACCTTGGAATTATTCTGGACTCCAAGTTGAATTGGAAAAAGAATTTAGAAGAGAGAGCCAAGAAATCTCTAGCAGCATACTACACGGGGCAGTGAATAGCGCACCTCAGGAAGGGCTTAACATGATATTTCATCTGCAACCGCTGCATATTTTCATCCATGGTACGGCCGCAAAGAGACCTTTGAGGCTCAGAGAAGACCAAACGTGGAAGGCAACCAATTTGAAAATGAAATGAAAAGGGCCGGCACTGATTCCATTACGCCTGTTTGGGACTTCAATAACCCAGATACCCATTACAGTTTCCGACTAGAGAAGAATGAGATGCAGGACTACCAGTAGCAGAGGGAGGTATATTCATCTTCACTGACGGTTCAAAGATGGAACAAGGAACCGGAGCCGGTGTTTACTCGAAGGACCTGCAGATCAACCGGTCCTTTCGCCTACCGAACGCCTACAGTGTCTTCCAAGCGGAGATCTACGCTATAGAGCGGGCGGCTAGTCTTTTGCTTAGTATTAGAGTTCCAGAAGACAAAGCGACTATTTTGGTCCACAGTCAGGCAGCACTGAAGGCAATAGGATCTAGAATATTGAAATCGGGAAGTGTATGGAAATGTTTCACCACGCTGGCGTCACTGAGCCGTCTCTCTATGCTGGGTTACCGGACATAACAATATTGAAGGGAATGAGTCGGCTGATGAGATGGATAGATGCGGCTCAGAGATGCCAATAGAAGAATCGGAACAAACGGGAAGACTGTGAGACCACAAGATTATTATGGCCGCGGCTGAGTAGGAAAAAGACAAGGGACATACTGAGACTCAATCAATCTGCAGTATGAGTCCTTACCGGCGTATTCACAGGACACTGTGCTATAACACCCATGCTCTAACGGTCGCAAATACCAACGAGTACTCTCTGCAGACGCTGCCATGATGAGAATGAGTAAATTGACCACTATTTGTGTCGATGTCCAGGTCTACAGACGAAGCGATTCAAGCACTTGGGTTCACGCTTCTTCAACAGTCTGGGCGAAGTAGCAGAGGTGGAAGTGTTGGATCTCCTCAGCTTCATCACGGATAGCAATAGGTTCGCCAAAATAATGACTTAAAGCTACTCTTTCGATATATGTAGGTACGTGTCTCCTCCTGACACTCACTAAGAGAGGGCACTAACAATGGACAATTCTGTCTCCGAGTGAAAGTATGGATTATTCCACACACGCCCTCCTAACCTAACCTAACCTTCCAAAGCATATCAAACGGGCAAGCGCAATTCGAAAGGTCCGCTAGCAAATACGGTTGCATGCAATGAAGGCCAATAATAGAATATTTATTCACAACGTATTATGAAAATCTATTTACTTACGACAAAAATTATGATTATGTAAATGGCTTCCGCGTATTTGGTGACGTTTGTTTAGCTGCATAGAAATGTACATACACATCAGCGGTCAATAAGATTGTAGCAAAATTACATTTATTGTTACATATTCAGGTAAAAATATATGTCTGTATACATACATACAGTGGTGAAAATATAAATAGGGAAGAGGCATTTAAGCATGCTTCGTTTATTTAATGTTTATTGTTTTTTATGAAAGTGTAGCTAAAAAACATGTAGTCAAAATTTCAAACTTTTTGGCTTTTTATTCGATTTTTCATTCTATTTGCCAAAAATCAACGGTAAGTACCAATACTTCAATATTGTACTTTATTGTACTAAAAGTTCATTAGCAACAAAACTGCATAGCACAAAGTATTCTAAAAAATCTGAGAAATTCGTCGAATTTTTACAAATGTTCTACAAATTTTGATTTATATGTTTTTTTTTAGATAGTAAGCCATATTTTCATAAAAAAAAAAAATTCTACAAAGAAAAATAGCCAAAACTTGCTAAAATATCTCTTCCCTATTTACGTTCTCGCCACCATATATAGAGACCATTAAATTAAATAATTTTCACAAAAAAAATTTTTTACGCTTTGAATCGATTCGTTAATTAAACATATTAGATCCGTTTTGGATCGTGAGAAGTGAAAAACAGGATATACGAAAAATAGTATCTAATAGACTTAGAAAGCTTCATTGAACGTAAGTCTTGTCGCATAGAAAACAAGCAATTTTCTTATTGACAACTTATTTTCACCGTCTTTTTTTCGAACTTAATACTTGAGGTAAAGACAAGGTCAGATATACTTTTGTATTTAAAAAGAAAAATGCCGAAAATTCAAAACAAGCCTTCTCTAGAAATCACTGCTTCGATATACACAAAAATCGTTCATATTTAAGCTATAGCTGGCATTAGCTTTATTTTATTGTCTACGCCTATGTTAACTACTTATTTTTGCAACCTACTGTAATTAAAAGTACATATATTTACCTATGAAGCTCTACTTACATGTTCATCCACCGAATATGTTAGTTCGCCGTCATCGTATAAGACAAACCATCGTCGCTGCCATCTCTGTAAATAGAAAGCGTTGTTTTAATTATAAACAAAAAAAAACTCCAAGAATGGAAAAAGAAGTATTTGATGTGACAACAAAACCTAGCATATGGGTCATTCCAGCGAAGACGACACCACAGGTAAAAATAAATTACATAGACTGTGTAAATATGTGACAACAGTAAACCAGGTAAAAAATTCTTTAGAAATCGGGGTTTATCGATTTAGTTTTCAATATTTTTTTATATTTTCATCTTTATAAAAGCGGCCGGAGTGTTACTATATCTGATAATATTTTTCCATTTACATAGCTATGTACTAAAAAATAATTATCCGTAAAATATGTATTTTTTAACGTAACTTATATAAACTTAATCATCCAATTATTGTAATAAGCTCATTTATTAAAAATATAATAAATATTCACATGAAACCATTGGTGTTCATTTAACTTACGAACTATGTGTTCCATGTGACACGTCCCACCCATCGTAAAATACTGACCCAGCCGTCATAAGCTAAAATAGGCATTTTTTTACCTTCCTTTTATTAGGTCGGGATGTAACTATGTAATGTTGATGCGCCTAAAAGACGCAGCGATTTCTATTCTCAAGTTACATACCTGATGACAGTACGAACGGAAATTATAATAGCGAGGATTTACTTTTTTAAACTATAATTTTTAGTTTTCAAATAATATAGCAATGCCATTAAAGCACAAAATAGATCTTAACATTCTACTTTCTACATTCGAGAAAGGCGCTATGAATGAAATATTTATACTTAGTTTGTCTAAAATTGGGAAATAAACCCAACAATTCAGGGGGCGGGAATCATCGTTTCATTCTTTATTCTCGTTCGTTCGTTTTAAACTGGCACCTATCTCCAAGTGTGAATAGTTTGACACCTGTCAAATTAACAGCTAAAGAGAAATTAACTAAAGTTTAAGCAAAACGAGTTAAAATATCCCACCCGTCACGTTGCAATGCCCCCATATGTATGGCGAATGTATACATAAATTCTTAGAATGAAAATAGAAATCGATTAAGCCATGTCTGTCCGTCCGTCTGTCCGTGTAGACGATAACTCGAGAAAAAATTCGGATATGTCAAAGAAATTTCGTAAGTAGGTTTCCCTTTATCCACGGGAGGTTGGGATTAAAAATGTTCACAATCGGACAATAACCACGCCCACCTCCCATATAATGGTATTTCCGAAATATGCAAAAATTACGATATTTTCGCAATTACTGAATCCAAATTGTTGAAAGTCAGTATGCGAAGTAGAATTTTGCCATAAAATAAGAAAGTTATGAAACGTTTGGAAAATGGGCGTGGCACCGCCCACTTATGATGAAATGCCGAATCTCCGTAGTCCCTTCACCAACCCTCACTAAACTCGGTGCGAACCTTGCTTAGGGCCTAAGAAACCCGTTGACAATTTTTTAAATCAGACAAGAACCACGCCCACCTCCCATATAACGGTAATTTGCAGAAATGCGAAAACTGCGATAAATCAGTAACTATTTAAGTTAATTTCCTCAAAATCGATAAATGCAATTAGCTATTAACAGAAAAGGATTCTTAGGGAAATTTCTGGAAAATGGGCGTGGCACCGCCCACTTACGCCTACATATGTATGTGTGTCTGGGTAGCCGGTTTATCAATTTCTACCAAACTCGGCACATTTATCAATCTTGACGCAAAAAAGCAATATGTTGAAAAGTTTTGTAATCGGACTAAAATTACCGTCACCTGTTTCAATAACTAAAGACGCCAACTTACAAAAATCTCTTAACAAGACATAAGATTCTAGATTTTTGTAAAATGGGCGTGGCTCCACCCGATAACCGCCTTAGCGACTTCCACCAAATTTGGTCCAATTATTTCGATATATTATAGCATATTATCGAAACTGTTTGACATCAGCAAAAATACTCTTGCTTATCATGCAGTTTACTGAAAGGTGAAAAAACGAAATTTTGCCCAAGGTACGTCATAAGATAGGCGAAGCTTTTTACTAAAAATTGGTAATTTATAGTTACTGTCATGCCACATAACTGCAATTTTTAAAAATGCAAAAACTGAAATATTTAACTAACTACAAAGGATAAAATGCCCAAAATTGATATTTAGAATTTCCCTATAACAAGATATTATAAACTGACAGAAATGGACTTAAAAATAAATATATATTTTTTTTAATTATGGGCGTGGAAAATATCGATAAAAAAGTCAAGTTGGGTCAACAAAATTCCGTTATAAGTTCAATATTTCTTACTCTATTTACAAAAATGGGATACCATTGGAAAGGTAATGAATCAGACTTTCTCTATTCAAAACGAAAATATAATAATTTGTCTCGGTCGAGATAAAATGCAAATGAATTACTCGAAGAAAATGAAATTCCCAGTAGGCCAGAAAAAAGAAAATTTCATCAAAACCTGCACTTTCCAGCAGCTAAAATTATGTTGTTTAAAGTCTAAGAGGACTGGGAAATAAACTGAGATACAAACTTTATCGAATAGTGGCGGATAACGAGTTTTCGGGTCTAATGAAATTAATAAATTGCTAAAAATAAATTTAAGTTAAC